CCTGCCATGCTGGGATTCTGTGACCAATGTGCTGGGGGAACCCCCGCTCCCCGCACCTTGGCCAGGGACCCCCTGCCCATGGGGAGACAAGCACCTACCGCTTGCGAAGCCATCATCTCGTTGATGCTCTGCTCGTACTGCTCTGCCAGGATGGCGAGCTTCCTCGTCTGCTCATCCTTCAGGCTCTTCAGAATTGTCTTGTGCTCACTCTTTGGAGTTACTTCCAGCTGGTGATTCTTCAGTGCTTTGTACTGCTTAGTTTGCACTTTGCATGTGTCCTGGAACTGCTTTTTGATCTGCATTTCCATCGCCTGCCAAGGAAGGAACAATGTGAGGAGCACAAAGAGCTCTGGGAAGGAAGAGGTTCCAGCACATCCCCTGGGGGGGTTGGTGAGAGACAGCCATGGTTCCCTGTGCTCTGCGCTGTCTCCTGCCCCTGCGCCGGCCCAGAAGCTGCTCTGTGTGCACAGCGACCGAGCAAGCGGCGTCAGCTCGGGCCCTGTTTCAGCACAGGCCAGAAACGGGACCAGGACCCACCAAGCCCTTCTCAGCCCACGGCATCTCCGTCTCCCACCACTGCTTCCCGCAGGTCGCCCAGCCTGTCGCCCTGCACAGATGTTCAGAGGAGGAACGGGATCTCCCACAGCAGCTCAGAGGTTTCTAATCAACCTGCAGCCCAGCTGGGACGGAGCGCAGTGCTCAGCACGCCCAGGTTCTCTCCCTCTGCTGCCTTTCAAAGCGAGGAACCATCACCCAACCCCTTTCCATACGGAGGTTTATAGGCTGACACCAGCCAGGGCCTGAAGAAAGCACAGCTCATCAGAAACAAGCTCTGCAATGCTTCGCTGAGGACTCGCCCATTTTTACCCAGCAGCCTCAATCAGTACAGCACTTAAAAAATCCTCAGTGAGCCCTTTGCTATATGAGCCTGCAACTTTATAAGAAAAGAGAAATTTAAAGAAATACTGGAGCGGCCCTGTGCAGAGGGAAGGGACACAAGGGAGAGCACACCGCGCTGGTGCAGCACGGCGTGGATGCTGCGCAGAGGCGGCAGCAGGCACCCAGACCAGCCTGCCTGGCAGGACAGAGCCTGAGAGAGGAGGACAGAAAGCTTCCAGCACCTTCAGGTTCTTTGGTTGCTGCCGGAGCTCCATGAAATGCTTCCTGTGCAGCTCCCGCTCTCGACGCTTGTTGTATTCCAGCTGGTTCTCGAGCTCAGTCTGGTGCTGCAGCCGGATCAGGTCCATCCGCAGCTTCTGCAGCGTGTGCAGCTGCCTGTACTCCAGCTCGCGCGTCGACTCGTCGTGCCGGATCAGCATAGCATGCTCCATTTCCTTCTGGGTCCGCTTCTTGTTTAACTCCTGCACAAGAGGACAGCAGAGCGCAAGGCAGCAGCTGAGGAGCGGTTCTATCTGCCCCGAGACGCAGTAAATTCAGTGTTCCCGGTCACTCCTCCAGACAGCACCAAGGACTTCCACGAGCCAGAGGGAAACGCAAACCCAGCAGCAGGATGGGAACGCTGACAAGCGGCATCCATCCATCCATCCATCCATCCATCCATCCATCCCTCCCTCCCTCCCCCTCAGAACCTGCTCCTCTGGCAGCTCGGGATCACCCGGGCAGTCTCCAGCAGGTGGCACTGGGACCCCACGCCAGCCCTCCGCGACTGCTGAGAACCGCTGACATTTTTAATAAATACAGCCCGGGGTGCTGGGAGCTGGGGGGTCTGGGCTGGGGCGACTGCCAGAATCGGGGGCTCTCATCCGTCTGCTTTGTATGACCCTGAGCCCCTGCTGGACCCCGGGAGATGAGGCTCCTCATGTATCACTGATGCTGGCACGGCCAAAGCAGAGGTGAACAGCTCCAACACATCACATCAGGTCAGAAAAAGAACTTCATCTACCACTGTGCACGGGTGGATTTCGGTCCCAGATGCAGCATGTCATGTGAAACACAGCCCAAGCCCCACAGGATTTTGCAGCGTGCACCTAAGAGCTCCTGCACATGGGGCTCTGCAGTGCAGGAAATCCTTCACCGAGTTACAAACCAAGGAAGAGGGAGAAGCCGGATTCTCTCCCTGATTATTGCTAATATTTCTGTCTCAAGGGATCAGCCACAGCCTGCGGAGCGTGGAGCTGCACCCGGCTCAGTCAAGCCGTGATTACAGCTGCACCCCTTGCTGGTATCTGGTGACCGTCCCAGACAGCCTGCTGGTACGTCTCCGTTTGAGGAGCTACTGGAGAGTCCAGCACAGGGCTACAAGGATGATGAGGGGACTGGAGCATCTCTGCTACAAGGAGAGGCTGAGGCAGCTGGGCTTGTTCAGCCTGGAGAAGAGAAGGCTGAGAGGGGACCTTAGAAATGACTACAAATATCTGAAGGGTGTGGGTCAGGAGGATGGGGCCAAACTCTTTTCAGTGGTGCCCAGCGACAGGACAAGGGGCAATGGGCACAAACTGAAGCAGAAGAAGTTCCAGCTGAACATGAGGAAGAACTTCTTCCCTCTGAGGGTGACGGAGCCCTGGCCCAGGCTGCCCAGGGAGGCTGTGGAGTCTCCTTCTCTGGAGATATTCCAGACTCGGCTGGACGTGGTCCTGTGCAGCCTGCTGTGGGTGACCCTGCTTCGGCAGGGTTTGGACTGGGTGACTCACAGAGGTCCCTGCCAACCCCGACCATTCTGTGATTCAGTGATCTAGGAAGGGCTAGACCCTGACTGGAAGGGCTTACAGTCGATTTGAAAATCAGAGACCATGGATGGGAGAAAGGATATATTGCTCCCAAAATCAATAATGTGGATTCAATGCGCAGAGAGAATAAGCAGGTTGCTAAAGTTGGACCAAGCAGAGGAAGCTCCAGCTGAAGATGAGGAAGAACTTCTTCCCTCTGAGGGTGACGGAGCCCTGGCCCAGGCTGCCCAGGGAGGCTGTGGAGTCTCCTTCTCTGGAGATATTCCAGCCCCGCCTGGACACGGTGCTGTGCAGCCTGCTCTGGGTGACCCTGCTTGGGCAGGGGGTTGGACTGGGTGACCACAGAGGTCCCTGCCAAACCCGACCATGCTGTGATTCTGTTTCAGCTCTCGGGTTGGCGAACTCATCGCTGCGCTTCGTGCCAGGCTAAGACAGGCACAGCAGGAGCTGCCTCACGCATGCACAGCACCCAGCGCAGGGAGCGCCCGGCTTTGGCTCAGTCTAACCTGTTGCTGCAGCAGGAGCAAAAAAACCCTCGTTATTCTGAGTTGTTGCTTGCATGTTGTAATCCTGTAGTAACTCCCAACCTCAGCACCTGCCAACAGGCACTGCAGCCCCTTGGGCTGTTACAGCTGGGACAGGTCTAAGCCAGGAGGACGTGGAGGGAAACAGGACCAGGCCTTCTCTCTACGGTCTTGGCCATAAGGATGTTGCACACGTTTACGTTTAAGCAAAACTTGCACCTTTGACAGCCAAGATCAAAAATTCGATGTCCTGGTGTGCCGAAATGACTCCCCACAGGCGCAGAGACAGCCAGCCAGCCTCCCCCGTGCCCCTTCCCCACCTGACTTCAGCCGAGGCAGCACAGAGGCACTGCGCTTCTCACAAACGCTTCCCCATCTGTGCGAAAAGAACCTCTGTGGCTACTTAGAAAGCCAAGAAAAAAGATTCTTGAAGCGTTACTTCAGCTGTCTCATCCAGTGAATCTGAACTAGCTGGTAGGGATGCTATTTTCAGGAAATAAACACTTAGATCACGCTGAAAATTAGGTCTCTTCTAAGAGCTTAAATGCAGGAGCTCAGAGGAACATTTCCCGGTTAAAATTCCACGCTAGGTAACTGTGTTCTGTTCTCGTCCCTGCTGCAGAGCTGTGACAAGGGTGCCCAGATCTGATTTTTCAGGCATTCCTTTTCAGGGTGTCCTAGCTGAGATGGCTGGGTGTGAGCTGCAGCGCGGTGGCAGCCCCAGGCGCACCCAAAGTCAAGGGCAGCACAGATCTGAGCAGGTAAAATACAGGGCAACGTCACGTGTGCTGAGAGAAACATCATCTCATCATCTGAAGACAACCAGAAAGCAGACCCACGAGAGGGCTGCACGTTGGTATTTCTCACATTCGTAGCATTTCGTTCTGCAACCTTAGTGTTGTTCTTTTAAGGTTCTTACTGGTTTATCTCACATCCTTCAACTCTGAGCTTTCTTTAGCCAATGAGCAGAACTGCTCACGTGACGCTTTCAGCCACCCCCCAGCCCTCCTGCAAGCGGCCCCGGCGCTCGATGCGGCACCAGCTGCCCCGTGCCGTGCCAGCAGCCCAGCGGGACCCCTCGATATCTGATGCCCCGGAGCTCAGGTGAAGCATCTGACCCAGAGCGGGTGGCCCACGTCATGTTTCGGTCTGCAAGGCAACCATGCCACCCCTCCCCAGTGAATAAAAGCGGCCACATCTGTGTGGGAAACTCTTTCCTAAAACACATCTCCATTTTTCTCAGTTCTGTTTAGCAACTGGAAACATGAAGATCTAATGCCAGTCAGCAAACTGCTTTACAAACATGAAGCTGAAACAATTACAGAAATGCTTGGGAAAGGAAGTGAAGAGTGCCATACTTCCCGAATGTTCTGCTGCTCCATCTCGTGCCTCTTGATCATCGTTTTCCTCTTGAAGAAACGGCAGTTTTTGTCGTAGTAGAGTCTCTGCTGGCTGAGAAGGTGGGCCTCCTCTTCAGCCTGGGTGTGCTGCAGGTTCTCTTTATGTTTGGATATTCTTTCTTGCTTCTCTTTCTTGGGCGTGCTGTGGTCCTCGTTCATCTCCTGCGTGCATACAGGGTCAAAACAAGACTGCCCTTAGGATCACAGTGCCACAGGACTTGGAGGACCCTCGGCCACTGGCTGCTCCCTTCCCAGCTCCGCACCGCTTTCACAAAGGACTCCAGCTCGGGCTTAAGTTTTATTGCAGCAGGACCCGTGCTCAATTCTCTATCAAATCGGACACCTAACAGGGCTCCCTTACTATTCATTTTCTCACCTCTACATTCTTAACAGCAAATGAGTGATTTTTGCGATGTGGTGGGGATGCTGTACTTCAGCAACGCCATTTGGGACAGATCAGCTATATACTAAGTTATTGCTTTTTCTAATTCATATAAGCGATCACAAGGCTTTTAAGTCAAGCAACACCTATAGGGCTGCTCTGCTTAAAGCTGGAGGAAGAGATGAGGAAAAGGGGGGAGATGAATTCTCCCTGAAGTCGCACTTCCCCTCATCACCCTTGGTTTCAAAGATTCTGCTCTACAGCTAACGTGAAGGCTCTGCTAGCATCCTTACAGATTACTCTAGAAATGCTGCCAGATGCTCACAGTTCCCAAAAGTTTATTTGTTGGGAATCTAAATTTGCTTCCAGGAATGGCACTATCCCTTAAACCCCTGGGCTGGCCCAGGTTTATCAAAACGAAAGTCTAGTTCATGTTCCACACCCCTTCAGCCCTGAAAATGATGGTTTCTTGCCTCTTTAATTTTTTCCTTGCAAAGCTTGTATTGTTTCTTCTGACTTTCTAAAAAGGTCGCCAGGTCTTTCTTTTGCTGAGCCAAAATCT